TCTGTCCTTATCCTTGATCTTTGCCATTTTAATTATTATATGTCTTTGTGTTGTCTTCCTTGGGTCCCTTGTGTTGGGAGGTCTGTGTACCTCCATGGCCTGAGAGACTATCTCCTTCCCCATATTGGGAAAGTTTTCAGCAATTAACTCCTCAAAGACACTTTCTATCCCCTTTTGTGTCTCTTCTTCTGGTACCCCTTTAGTACAAATATTGTTCTGTTTGGATTGGTCACATAGTTCTCTCAGTATTCTTTCATTCCTAGAGATCCTTTTTTCTCTGCCTCATCTTCTTTGTATTGTTGTTCTCTAATTTCTATTTCACTTACTGTCTCCTCTACTTCCTCTAATCTGCTTTTAAATACCTGTTTTATGTTCTTGAACATTTGTATCTCATTCCTGAATTCCTTCCTGAGTTCTTGAATATTTTTGTGTACCTCCATGGGCATGTGTATGATTTTTGTTTTGAAATCACTTTCTGGAAGATTGATGAGGTCAGTTTCGCTTGGTCCTCTTTCTGGTGTTTGTGGGATTTTGGTTTGAAACAGGTTCCTTTGACATTTCATATTTGTAAGTGGCGCCCTCTAGTGCCCAGACTCTCTACTCTCGAGCTGCTCAGCCCCTGGAGTGATGTTGGAGGTTATAGGTAAGCAGCTCTGGTGCGTTGGGAGGAAAGCGCTCTTTCCTGCTTCCTGGCTGTAGTACCTGCCTCCACTGCCAAGGCTAGTGACCGAGCATGCAGGTAGAAGCCCCTACGCTTTGCGTTTATTGCTGCTTTACGCGGGGCCTCCCTCTGGCTGGCCTAATGCAAGGGCGCAGGTAGCCAGTTCGTGAGCTGATGCTGGCTGAGAGGAGGGTGCAGCAGGCTGTGTATCACAGTGGGGGGCCCAAGAGCTTTGTAACCATCCAGGGGGACAGAGTGCCTGAAGCTCCTGGAAGTTCCCAACCTGCTGGGCAGAGCGCACCCACTTTTGTCCACCTGTTCTTTCTCCTGAGCAGCAACTCTATGCAATCCTTGCCGCTTTAGCAGCCCTCTCACTGTTAGGAAGACTGCCCACCTTTCTGTTGTCCCAGAGCTGCTAGATGTGGATCCCTGTTTTCTACAAGCAATTCGAATTGCAGTCTCTCCAAGTATTCCACCTGTCTTACCTTTCCAACCCCACTATTAGGAGCATGTTGTTAAGCCTCCATGTGTTTGTGGGCTTTTTTGTTTTCTTTGCATAATTTATTTCTAGTTTCATACCTATGTGGTCTGAGAAGCTGGTTGGTACAATTTCAATCCTTTTGAATTTATTGAGGCTCTTTTTGTAGCCTAGTATATGATCTTTTCTTGAAAATCTTCCATGTGCTCTGAGAAGAATGTGTATCCTGTTTTTGGGTGGAGTGTTCTGTAGATGTCTGTTAGGTCCATCTGTTCTAATGTGTTGTTCAGTGCTTCTATCTCCTTACTTATTTTCTTTCTGGTTGATCTGTCCTTTGGAGTAAGTCTCCTCAAGTGATGTATTACATTCTATTTCCCCCTTTACTTCTGTTAGTATTTGTTTCACATTTGTACGTGCTTCTATATTGTGAGCATTGATATTTATATTGGTTATATCCTCTTGTTGGATTGGCCCCTTTATCATTATGTAATGTACTCCTTTGTCTCTTCTTACTTTCTTTGTTTTGAAGTCTATTTTGTCTGATAGAAGTACTGCAATTCTTGCTTTTTTCTCCCTGTTAGTTGCATGAAGTATCTTTTTCCATTCCTTTATTTTTAGTTTGTCTATGTCTTTGAGTTTGAAGTGAGTCTTTTGTAGGCAGCATAAAGATGGGTCTTGCTTTTTTATCCATTCAGTGGCTCTATGTCTTTTGATCAGTGCACTCAGTCCATGTACATTTAGGGTGATTATCGATAGGTATGTACTTATTGCCATTGCAGACTTTAGATTCGTGGTTACCAAAGATTGAAGGGTAACTTCCTTACTATCTAAGTGTCTGAATTTAACTCACTTAGTATGTTATTACAAACACAATCTAAAGGTTCTTTTTCTATTTTTCTCCTTTTTCTTCCTCCTCCATTCTTTATATATTAGATACCATATTCTGTACTCTTTGTCTATTCCTTGACTGACTTTGGACATAGTTTATTTGCTTTTGCATCTGCTTTGTAATTAATTGGTCTGCTTTCTTTGCTGTGGTTTTATTTCCCCTGGTGGCAGCTATTTCACCTTAGAAACACTTCCATCTATAGCAGTCCTTTCAAAATACACTGTAGAGATGGTTTTTGGGAGGTAAATTCTCTCAGCTTTTGCTTATTTGGAAATTGATCCCTCGTTCATATTTAAATGATAGTCTTGTGGGTGGAGTATTCTTGGTTTGAAGCCCTTCTTCTTCATTGCATTAATTATATCATGCCACTCCTGTCTGGCTTGTAAGGTTTCTATTGAGAAGTCTGATGATAGCCTGATGAGTTTTCCTTTGTGTGTGATCTTTTTTTCTCTCTCTGGCTGCATTTAATATTCTGTCCTTATCCTTGATCTTTGCCATTTTAATTATTATATGTCTTTGTGTTGTCTTCCTTGGGTCCCTTGTGTTGGGAGGTCTGTGTACCTCCATGGCCTGAGAGACTATCTCCTTCCCCATATTGGGAAAGTTTTCAGCAATTAACTCCTCAAAGACACTTTCTATCCCCTTTTGTGTCTCTTCTTCTGGTACCCCTTTAGTACAAATATTGTTCTGTTTGGATTGGTCACATAGTTCTCTCAGTATTCTTTCATTCCTAGAGATCCTTTTTTCTCTGCCTCATCTTCTTTGTATTGTTGTTCTCTAATTTCTATTTCACTTACTGTCTCCTCTACTTCCTCTAATCTGCTTTTAAATACCTGTTTTATGTTCTTGAACATTTGTATCTCATTCCTGAATTCCTTCCTGAGTTCTTGAATATTTTTGTGTACCTCCATGGGCATGTGTATGATTTTTGTTTTGAAATCACTTTCTGGAAGATTGATGAGGTCAGTTTCGCTTGGTCCTCTTTCTGGTGTTTGTGGGATTTTGGTTTGAAACAGGTTCCTTTGACATTTCATATTTGTAAGTGGCGCCCTCTAGTGCCCAGACTCTCTACTCTCGAGCTGCTCAGCCCCTGGAGTGATGTTGGAGGTTATAGGTAAGCAGCTCTGGTGCGTTGGGAGGAAAGCGCTCTTTCCTGCTTCCTGGCTGTAGTACCTGCCTCCACTGCCAAGGCTAGTGACCGAGCATGCAGGTAGAAGCCCCTACGCTTTGCGTTTATTGCTGCTTTACGCGGGGCCTCCCTCTGGCTGGCCTAATGCAAGGGCGCAGGTAGCCAGTTCGTGAGCTGATGCTGGCTGAGAGGAGGGTGCAGCAGGCTGTGTATCACAGTGGGGGGCCCAAGAGCTTTGTAACCATCCAGGGGGACAGAGTGCCTGAAGCTCCTGGAAGTTCCCAACCTGCTGGGCAGAGCGCACCCACTTTTGTCCACCTGTTCTTTCTCCTGAGCAGCAACTCTATGCAATCCTTGCCGCTTTAGCAGCCCTCTCACTGTTAGGAAGACTGCCCACCTTTCTGTTGTCCCAGAGCTGCTAGATGTGGATCCCTGTTTTCTACAAGCAATTCGAATTGCAGTCTCTCCAAGTATTCCACCTGTCTTACCTTTCCAACCCCACTGATCTCCAGAGTACCATGTAATGTAGGTTTGTGCTTCTAGAGCAGATCTCCAGGACTTGGTGTTCAGCAGTCCTAGGCCTCCACTCCCTCCCTGCTCCATTTCTCTTCCTCCCTCCAGTGAGCTGGGGTGGGGGAATGGCTTGGGTTCCTCCGGATCATGGCTTTGGTACTTCACCCTTTTCCTTGAGGTCTGCTGGGTTCCCCTGGTTGTAGACAGTCTGCCACAGCCTTCTTTCCTGTTACTCTTTCAGGATTTGATGTATTTCCTGTATTTTCATATTGTATGTGCTTTTGGGAGGAGGTTTCTGTCTAACCTCTCATGCTGGTATCCTTAATCTGCCCCTTCTCAGTTTTTAATGTTCTTCCTTGAGGTATATTTTACTAATAAGACTTTTGAAAACCACCTGAATGATAGTACTTTTATGCGTACCTGAATCCTCTTGAGCAGAGTGTAGTTGTGTAGTTCACTGAACTTACTAAGAGATTTTAAAATAGATTACTAGAATTCAGAGAGGATGATGAAACCAAATGTTAAACACATTGCCAAACAGGTTTTCCCTCTCTTCCCAACCGATTTGTTAGTCCTTTAACATTAATGCAAAGAAGAGAAAGGAAACTGATTCTTCATTGCATGCTAATATTATCTGAGTTAAGTTTAACAGCTGTTTGGACTTACTCTTATTTCATATAAGGAAACCCAGGCTTGGAGATAGGGAACTTGTTCACAGAATGGTGGAATTGACATTCAAATGTCAGCCTTTCTGGTTCTGTCAACTGCTATTTTGCGTCATGTGCTATTGCCTCTCCAAATCAGAAAACTCAAAGTATGTTCTGCTAAGAAAGCATTTGTTACATACAAAGAAAACAGTAAAGTACATAAGGGCAGTTCTAAGCTTAAAATCATGTCTTTGATTCTTTAATCTGAAAATGCCTCCATGTTTAGTTCTGAGTGTATGAGGACAGAATGGAGCTGAGTGGGGTGCATGTATGTTCACATGGAGGGTCCATTGAAGAAAATGGGTTGAATAGTATAATCCCTGAAGATGTGTACTGTCCAAGATTCTCCTGTGCAATTTATTTATTTTTAGCAGAAAGATTCTTATCTGTCTCACCTCTCATGCTGCTATCTTTAATCCTCCCCATAATTTGAAAATCATAACTTGAAAATCTGCAAATTTTGTGCAAAGATTTTGCTTCAAACTAGGTCACAGATTTTTCAGGCAAAAGAATGCTTTTCAGCATAGGTGCCCTCCTGCATGGACTAACTGCTTATTTTCTAGTCTTTTCTCACAGATAAAGATGTTTTGGGAAATTGAAAGAACTATTTTTTTCTTTTGTAGATTAACTGCTGAAGTACTGATCGAGTTCTGTGTTTCTTCAATGAGGAACTACAGGCTGATCTTCTGCCATAATCTCAAACAACCATAAATGACAAAAGAATGCTTGCTCAGTGAGGGTAGCTGGTGCAGAAGCCATTTTTTAAACTTAGGCGTTTAAGTACTTAAAGGTAAGTTTTCAAAATGGCAACTATTCCATATTGTATAAATCCATGGGTTTTGGAGTTTATTCCTGTTGCTGCTATTTGATTATTAATTTGAGGCTTTGTACTTACTAGCTAGTGCCAGATGTATTGAAGAATGAGTCTTGCTTGTTTAAAACTAAATTTGTGCCATTTTGCTGAAGTTAATTTCTGTTTAGTTGGACAGATTGCTTCCCAGTCATGTTGTTTCCCAGTCTCTTGATCCAGTGGGTACAACTACTATATACGTGGTGCTTATTTTTGTAAACTTTACAATCCTGTTTAGGTTTATTTTTTTGCTCTGTTATCTTGCTCTTAAGTGAGAAAGGAATTGTTTCTCTAAGATGATGAAAAAGGCCCACTGGGTGTCATTTTGTTATCAACTTTGAAGAAAGTTTTTCTTTCTTTTAAAAATAGTCCTTTCCCACATAAAGTGACTGTTTTATTTTAGAAAATGAGTCTTTCTTGGGATTGCTTGTTCTTTGATGCTTTAGATACTTGAAGCATCATTTTCTCCCACTGCTTTACTGATCACAATTCCTACAAAGTTAAGACATATAATTTATTTTTTTAAACTAAAGTGACTGGAATTTTTTTCTTTTAGTATTGATAAAAGAACAGTCTTATTGAAAGTTGATGTCTAGAACTGAAAAATTTCCTTCATTTATAAAAACATGACTGCTCTGTTACATGGAAATAATAACTGATTAGTCAGCAATCAACTCAGCCAGCTTTATTTGTGAAACGGAAATAAAGACTTTTCAAAAAAATTAAAAAACTGATTAGTCTTGCCTTATTTGCCCATTATTTACAAAAAGTGATTATTGGTCCATTTGTTTATAAAAAGTGATACTCTCCTGTTTTGGGTGCTTATGAATTAAAGGGTGAGATGGGCTTCATATAGCAGAGTACAAAGATGATTGAATTTGGCCTTTTACCTACGTCATTAATAGTTTGGTCAGTATGAGTCCTGTGAGAGGCATGTTTGTCCCTTAACTTGCCTTTGGGACATTAATGTCCTTTGCCAACTTTAATGGTCAATTTTGACATTGTGTGATAAATATGCAAATACTGAAGGGAACATTAAGAAGTAACTATACATAGTATAGAAAATGCTTAGATGCTTGTATTGAGCTTTATTTGTAGAACACACTGTGGGCTTGATAACTGGAACATATTTAATGGATGAGAACACTTTTAGGTCTAAAGCATTTTTCTTTAATGTATTTAGTCATACTGACACCTGTTGGTCATTGTAGTCTTTTTCTTTAATTTTTTTTTTGTCTTTCATTTGGCAGAAAAGACAGCTTTGATTTCTGGCTGCAAAAAGATATGAGGAAGAGCTCCTCCCCTTCCTTGAGTAACTGCAACTCCGTTCTTGCTAGCAAAATATTTGGAATTCCACTTGATGAGCTGCAGCAGGGAGGACATCCAGACAGTGAAGTTCCGTTCATAGTCCGCCACGTTGTGGACTATATTGAGGAACATGGTATACATTTCCTTACTAAGAGGGCCAGCCTTTGTTAATAAACACAACTTATCCCTTTTGCCTTGGATTTTTTTTTGTATGAAAAGTCCAAAATACAATGAGGAAAAACAATAGTTCTTTCCGTGTATTTTTTTACTTAGAACTCATAGACTTTGAAATGCCTCACAAAGTCTTTCTTAGTTGGGGGAAGGGTGATAGGAATATATATATAAGGGTGATAGGAATATATATATAGATATAGATAGATAGATATTAATGTACAATTACTTGAACAACATTATGGTTGCTAGATGATAGGAATATTTTTAATGGGTACTACGGGATGGGATAAAATAGAATATTCCTCAGGACAGAGACAGTGTGCTTCCAGATGTGTAATTTGATGCTGTTTAGCCTGATCAGGAGTCAAGAATGGCTTTCCAAAAGTATGAATATTTTAAGTTGCTTGGAGAATGAACATATATGGCCAAGTTGAAGCTTATTTAATTTTTGCCTTGAACTAATGTAGGAGGTCTGGAGCAACAAGGACTTTTTCAAGTCAACGGAAATGCTGAGACAGTGGAGTGGCTTCGGCAGAGATACGACAGCGGAGAAGAGGTGGATTTGGTTAAGGAAGCAGATGTTCCCTCAGCTATTAGTCTTCTTAGGTTTTTCCTTCAAGAACTTCCCGAACCTGTTATCCCCGGCAGTTTGCATATTCACTTGATGCAGCATTCTCAAGGTAGCATGACTTGATTCTTACCAATCAGTCATTTAATATTAATTTCAAAGTCCTTAACCTTTTAGAAATCTTGACATGTAAACGCTAATTATACTAGTTCTGAGTTTAATTTCTTACATCCCTGTTTGGGGACGTATACTCTTAGGGGCTGTATGGTCTATCTAGTCAAAGGAATGGCAATTTCTTAGGCCCCTGTAGTGCTGTTTACTTTTTATTATTGGTCTTAGTAAGCCTATGGCACAGGGTGAGGAGAAGGAGGAAAAGCAGGAGACAAACAACAAGGAATAGGAGCGTAGGGAAAGAAGAAAAAAAATGTAAAGTAATAAGTGTGGCAGGATGTCCAATCATAGCCAGTGATGTTGCTTAGTGGTAATGTTACTCTTAAGGTGTTTGTTGGTTTGATAGAACTTTCTAGCAGAAACCAGAAGACAACTTTGATTCTAGGTTTGGAATATACCTAAAGCTTGTTCTTGGACACCTGCCTGGAGGAAACAAAATATCTCCAAGCCAAATAAAGAAAAACAAAATTGATTTGTCCTTGTTGGGTTAGTGTTTTGGTGGTGACTTAGCTGGAATGGCATAGCGACAGGAAAAATAAAGGTAAAAGACCCAAGAAATGAGGAATTATTTTTCTGTTCCTAGAGGCTAAATAGTATTCAGTGTATGTAATGGAGCAACATGTTCCATTATATAGGAAAATTTGTAAAGTTTCCTTTTAAATTAAAAAAATTTTAATTATGTATTTTTTAATTAAAAAGTTTTTTTCTGGCTTTTCTCTTTGTATTATGGAATCCCTCTAAATTTTTGAATTGAAGCTTCAAGAGGGACTCAGTGCTGTTAAGAAATTATAACTACTTCCTTAATGCCTATTGCTGTTGTAGCTGGACATTTTAGAATATGTGGTGTGTATTCTTAAGCAGTATGTAGTCAGAGAGTCAGAGAAGGAAGATTTCCTTTTAAAAGTATTTACCCATCTTACTTTTTCTTAAATTTTAAATACCTGTGAGCCTAAATTGGTGGGTGCCTCTGATTTATGTGTAAAGTCAATACATAGATACTTTATGACTCTCTTATGTGTTTTCTTTTGTGGAGCTAGATATTAGGGCTCATTTTAAATTTGCTATGTTCAGGAATGGTTAGCCTGAATCAATTTTGTTCTTTTATTGTGCTAACTGGATAAAAAAAAACTTGGTTTCAAAATGAAGTGTCATCAATAATGTCATCTTTTTTTTTCACAGGGTAGCTATTTTTTTCCTCCCAACAAATATTACATCTTTTGAATTTCTGAATCCATTTCTTCTGGAACTTTTTTCAAATGTTTATACTGAGTCACCTAATAAACATTTTGCGCCATTAAGTATGTGACAAAACTGGAATGTAATGTGTTAGTTTTCTGAGCCCTTTTAATGACTTGAGACCTTTTTGTTTTTATAGTGGTAGGGTTCAATGTGTCTGTATTTGCCAAATTGCAGATAAGTCTTTAAAGTTTCTAGAATCAGATAATTTAAGTGTGGAGTAAAAACTTATGAATGAATAATTGAAATAAGATTTAATGGTAATAAAGCCATTGACTCTCATCAATACTAGCTATCAGAAACTATTTTGTCACTAGGATTGTCGTTTTGACTGGTGTTCATTTCAAAGTATAGTGTCATGCACTGTGTTATCATTCATGGAATTACAGTATGTATCTTACTAATTATTCTTAACATTAACATTCATTTGTGAAGGAATTTAAGCTATGCAAAAATGCTAGAGGCCCATAAGCCCTTCATTGTTATACCATGAGAAATCCACCATTCTCCTGCATTCCCCACTTCCTTACCTTCGCACATGCAGATACGCATGCACACACACATATGTGCCCATTTCTTTAATACCTATGCAGACAGGCATAGCAGTACTTGAGGCATATTTGCATTTCTGTTGTGATATAATCTGCTTTACTTTGTTCATCCTTTAATCATTTTTGGGAAGGTGTCTAGGTCTCTGGTCAAAGATTTCTTTTTCCATTTATTGTATATAAATATTTTGTCAGTATTTTATATGACATTCACAAATACAGGAGGACATTATTGCTTTCAGGGTCATGGAGGGAGCATTGTTGCAGTTGCATTTGAGTTTGTGTTTTTAAAAAGTGCTTTTTATTTTCTGTGGTAGCAGGATACTGCAATGTGGTATTTCTGGTGAGGTTAGACCTTTTATTTGACCAGGACAAGGTTTCACACCCATGGCACTGTTGACTTTTGGAATGAGTAATTCTTTTTTACAGGAGCTGTCCTGTGACTTGTAGGATGTTCAGCAAGATTACTGGACTCTACCGACTAGAAGCTCCTGGCACCCCTTTCCCCAAGTCATGACAGCATTCTACTCATTGTCAAATGTTGATAACCACTGGTTTAGACTGTAATGATTTGTCCAACTACTTAGACATTACTTTTGGTGGAAAGCAGAATTCCCAGTTTTGTGAATTTGTTGTGACATATCCAAAAAATGTTACGGTGAAAGAATTGCTGGTCAGGGGAATCTTCTTTGATAAATTTAAGTAGATATGTGTTGTGTGTGTGTGTGTGTGTGTGTGTGTGTGTGGGTGGAGGGGGAGAGAGAGAGAGAGAGAGAGAGAAATGGCTTCTCTGCCTTCTTTGAATACTTTAGAAGCAGCCTGTTATAAATATTTTTGTGGAGTGGAAATGTGCACAAACGATAGTAGAGCAACATGGACAGTATTTCAGGTAAAAATGGATTGCCCACAATTTTACCACCCCATCAAATCAAATGTTTTAGGAATCCATCTTTTTTCATTTACTATGTATTCATTCAGCATATTCAACTAATATTTAATGAACATCTGCTATATGCCAGGCACTGTTTTAGATTGTGGGAATGCAGCAGTGAACAAAACTGGAAAAAACCTCTGCCACCATAGAGCTAATCTAAAGGGCATTTAGCGAGATAGAAGAGAAATAAATGATAAAGTAGATATAAGGATATGTTAGATGGTTAAGTGCTATAATTAGAGATGTTACATGTAATTTGTCTGTGTTGCTGCAGTCATATTGATAATATTCCTTGCACATGTTCTTTTGAGTTGATGTACATGGTTTTCTTAAATAGTCCTTTTCTGCTAAGTGCTTAGTTGTTAAAAGTTGCCACCAATTAATTATAGGCCTGGTGGTTTAAAAAACTTAATCCAGTGACTGTTCATCTACTAAAATCAAAGTACTGGTTCATTTAACGGACAGTTGATAATATTAAAAAATACAGAATAATTGTTATTGTTTGCATTTTAAATTTTAAATGAAACTCACTTAAATGACTATAGACTTTGCTGATAAACATCCTAGATTTGTGTTGTTTTGCAGAGATGGCCAACATCATGACCATGTTACCTAGAATTGTTCTGTAAATCAATTTTAAGAACCTGAAGAAAAACATAAAATGAAATATAATGGGTTGACTTTTACTCTTGAAGCAATAAATTACTTAATTTTTAAGGTGCTTCTGAGAAAAGATCTCTACCAAGTGGGGTCCTCACCAATGAATGAGGTTGATACAGGTCTAGTTTCTGTTAAATAAATCTCATTGCCATGTTAAATACAAGGTCTACCTTCTGCTACTTGAAAATTCACTTGGTAAACAGAAGCCAATATCAGTTTAGAGGAGAAAAACAAGTGGAATTCCTTCTTGTTTTGTTCTCTTGCTACTGCTGAAGTTAATTGTTTTTGTGATGTTAGAGGAAGAAGGAAAGTCACTCACCCTAGACCTTACTTGTTTTTCCAGTCATCCAAGTGGAAACGTATCCCTGATAATATTAGCTGGTTAAATTGCTTCTTTGCTTACTCTGGTTGGTGTTGACTAGCACTGGCCAGTGTGTTTTGATTTGCTGTAACTTATTATGGTACCACTAATTTGGAAACACAGGTATGGTCATGCAAGAGTGTGATGGAAAAAAAAAAATTGGAATAGTGGGGCCAATGAGTAATAGATGGGGAACACATCCTCCAGCAATTGAGGGGGTTGAGTTCCTTCTTTCTGACTCTTCTCTTCCACTTAAACGAAATGCAGAGCCCTAAGGCATTTGGCCTCTGGAGGAGGAAGTGAAGAGGTTTTGAATTGTTGTAGTAAAAAAGTGATGACTGTGGAGTAATGTGAACCTGGCAAAATGTCTGAGCTTTGCTTTTACTTCATGTAAAAAAAACCTTTATGTTTTATAGATTATAATAATGAAGATGAATTTGGAAGAAAGTTGAAATTCCTCTTGCAGCAGCTTCCACCTGTTAATTACAGTTTGTTAAAGTTCCTGTGTAGGTTTTTAGCCAACGTAGCATCACATCATGAAGAAATTTGGTCTGCAAACTCTTTGGCTGCTGTTTTTGGTCCAGATGTCTTCCAGTAAGTTTTTACATAAATTTTTGTTTAATTAAAAAAAAAATCTGTGAAATAAGAACCATTATACCATCTTCCAAAGATAAATTGCTTGATAAACCATTATTTTTTATAGTAGATCTGATTAATCCAGCATTACTGTGAACAGGGTACAAATTAGGTAGGCTTTATAGATGGGTGAACTGAGGCACAGAATGATGACAAATCCTCAGGTGTATAAAGTGACTCATTGGTTGTATTTCTTACCTTATGTGTGATTGATTTAAAAACTCTCAGTTAAATTTGGACTTTCATTCTTAGCATTTACACAGATGTAGAAGATCTGAAAGAGCAAGAAATAGTGAGCAGGATAATGGCTGGACTGCTGGAAAATTACTATGAGTTTTTTGAGAATGAAGAGGAAGATTTTTCATCTAATGATCTGAGTTCAATTACTGAGCAGGTGGGAATATTTTAAATATTTTACTTAGAAAATTAAAAGAAATATATGCTTACAAGTGCTTGGCACAAACTTAAGTAGAATTTTTAAGTACTAAACTGGAAGCAATTCTCTTGGTTATTACATGTAATCAGTCATAGGTTGCACATCCATGTAGTATACAAATACAATATTTTTTCTGAACGTCTTGTTCTCAATTTGGATATTATGGGAATAGCATTGAAATCAGAATATATGGTAGAGATTTTGTGGGTTTTTAAATGTTTTTCTTCTGTTTACTTAAGCATTGTTTATTTTAGTGTGTTTTGTTTTTATGAAGAATCTGCTAGCATAGAGGAGTGTAGGCAAAGGGTGAGAAACAAGTAAAGGGTAAGATTCGATATAAGTTCACTAAGTTTTAGAACAAGGAAATTTTTCTTGATTAAAGTAGTATAGCAGTGTACTCATTGTCACTAATGGGAAGCATCAGGAGGGTAACAGTTTAGGTTGTGGATAATGTTTAGACTCTGGGGCTCTTGAATATAGAATCCATTCCTCAGACTACATTATATTTTGTTGTTATTATTACGCCTTGATGGTTGAGATTGTTCAGGGATCCTAGTTACTTTCTCCTTTATGAAGTGAGAATATTGATGGGAAGCAATTGTAATTTATTGTAAAGCCACATTAATTCAGACTTCTTGGATTTAGAATTTGTGATTTAGGTCTATGTAGTGGTTTTTCTTTTGCACTTAAGTGAAATGATTTGTCAAGCAAACTCTTATTAGGTAAAATCTATAAAGTTAGTTATATTTTGGCCATGGGTTGGGGCTGCTACTTTTTTTAAATGAATAAATAATTTAATCAGGCAAATTGTTAAAAATGTTTTACTCTTTACCCATACACAGTCCCTCTCCCCATTGTTTTTTATGTTTTCCTAGAGTTGATGCAAATACAAGTAAGTATTTCCTGGCAGTTTTTTTAATAGGAAAGTGGCATACCGCACACACTATTCTGCACCTTGACTTTTTAATCATTTAACAATGTATCTTGGAGATCTTTCATTGGAATATTGAGAACATATTCTATTGTTTTTATATCTGCATAGTTCTCTACTGTGTGGATATAAAGTATAACTTATTTGATTTAGTGTACCAATTCCCACTTGAAAAGGTGATTGTCCTGGTTTATATCTGCTTTATGATATAATTATTAGTAGCTCCCCTTGTCAATCTCAGAATTCTCTAGGTTTGGATGATAAATTATATGGTCACACTATTTATCGATGGACATTTGGGTTGCTTTCCTGCATTTGCTCTTAGATTATTAAGCAGTGTCTCTTGAAAGGTAGTTATTCATACAGATTTTCATGAATTCTTACAGAGTTTTGGCTCTGATTATATAAATTACAAGTTTTATTTTCTAGGTAGCCTATCTTTAAAAAAGAGTTTATATACTGTTGTGAACTTTTATGGATGTCTTTGTAATATTTGGGGTTCATACCTTCCTTGGTTTTTCATGTTTTCTTCATGTAAACATTTTTATCTTCATCTGATTTTTCTGCTCTTCCTTTCTTTTTTCCCTTCCTTCCGCTCTCCTCTCTTCTCAAATATCAGTTACTTTAAGGAGATAGTAACAACTGCCAGATTGCAGCTTGCAGTATGTAAACTGAGGATGAATCAGTGTGCATATATATATATATATATTTGTGAGGCAAATCAAATAGGTAGAATTTGTAGCCTGAATCAGTGATCCATGGAACTTTTGGCATATTTTGGAAGGTTTCCAACTATCACATACTTAAAAATTGTTAAAATATAGAGTTGACACATCTTTTCAAAATTACTCTTGCTTAAAAGAAAAATGACAGGAAGAGGACAAGTACACAGATATGCCTTAAATCTTTGATGTCTTTTGCTGCCTCTAAGAAATCCCACCTTTCTTTAAATTATGTTTTAGTTGAGGAATTTTAAAAAATATAATTAATGGCTGCTCAAAATTGTGTGCATATATATATAATATTTATATAATATTGTTTGTGTTACATTTCCAAGATGATTTGACTTACAAGAAACTGATGATGCCAATTTGACCTAGTGTTTATACATTGATGAATCTAAAGTCTGCAGGGTATGCCTTGATTATATTTTATATTGTGGTGTTAGTCTCTAATGTTTCTATTATTCTGCAGCTTCCTTATGTATGCTGAAATATATCCATATCTCACATACATTGCATTTGTATTTTTTTTTAACTGCTAGAAAAAATTGACTTAAAATATGTTGTGCTTCACATTAAATGGAATGGTGGTTAATTAATACCAGGAAATAATGTTGAATTCTGAATATTTGATTGTGGATAGAAAAGAGGATTTTGGCATGTTGAACAGAATATGCTCGATAAATGGGATAGTGCAGTGAGCCCTGAGAGAAAGTGGTGTATATTTAATTTACGCTGAGCTGTATTGATAGTTAGCAGAATCCGTTTTCTTATATTTTTATTATTTCTGAATTATAAGTGGGTTGCAAGTAATAGAAGAACAGATTTCTGAAAGCTTGTTTTCTTTAAAGCAGATTTGGTGAATTCAGTTTGACTTGTGAGGCTGAATTCATAAAGTATTGAGTGAAAGTAAAATCTCCTCAAATTCAGCACAATTTGTAGTTTTAAGTTGGTCAACTTAAATGCTGATTTCTTATCCATATATTTAAAGATCTGAGCAAACCTGGCCTGTTCTGGCAGTGCTTTGATTTTTCTCCTGATTTTAACATTTGAAGGAAGCAAAGTTTATTTACTGCGCTTTTCTATTTTGGAGTTTCATCCCATTAATGCAAGTACTCATCTGTTGGAACCATTTCAGTGTAGTAGGTATTTTTATTAATAATACAAGAGAGATGACTGGAGATGGTGATACATAGGGAGTGTTTGAGAAATGACCCAGGCAATGGACAGGTTCTTTGTATGGGATCCTTAAATGAATACGAATCCAGTAGAGTGGTTTGAAGATGTAGGTGATAATTATGTTTCTTTATACATTTGAGAAGGCAGGTAGCAGCGTTCTCCACAAGCTGGAGTCTGGAGAGCAGGCAATTCACGAGGCCCTAGAGAAGGGAATTACAGCAGTCAAAGAAAGAAGAGATGTAAGTATGGATGAGGGTTTTCCATAAGTAGCATTGAGGCAGCTACATATATAGGGCAAGTTCACAATAGGTACAAACAGAATAGTGTTGATAAGCAGAAACAGAAGGTCAAAGTTGACAAAGAGGACTTTTGACAAGAAGAACTTTTAAAGATAAGTGTGGGGAGAGAGGGTGTTTTTTTTCTGTTTTATTGTTTATTCTTACCCAAACTAATTTAGTCAATTCTTACTGCAGAAAGTTATGCTGGGAGACCTGGGAACTGGAAGGAAGGAGGAGAAAAACTATGGACTATCATTCATGTCATATCTTAGTTGATGATTATTGGTGAAAAATCCTAGAGAATGTTAGTTAATTTACATAAAGCTCATTGAATTGAATACAATATATTCAGTAATTGAGTGGAAGGTCCAAGCTTTTATTAATCAGCCACTGTAATTCCAATGATATACTTCTGAAAACAGTGTTTTCTTCCTTGGGTTACCAGCAAGATTAAGTATAATTAATATGTTTTTGACTCCAATTTATTAAATACATAGATGGAAAAAGAGAATAATTTTCTATTTGATCCAGTATAAAAAATGATCTGTCATTTGAAATTTTCACCTTTGTGTGTAAATCTTACCTCCCAGTTTATCCCTTAAGGCCTGTGATTTTCAGCCCTTTTCATCACTATTATATATGGTAGGAGGTAGAAGAGGGATGGCATTTATAAGCACAACAAAATCAACAGAATCTGCTATGTATGTTTTATATGTAAAGTAAATGGTTCACAAATTGAGGTCATTAAGTATTAATGATAATGAATTTTTAGTGACCCATCTGGTGACTTTGATGTATCAGTAGTTGAGAGCTCCTGCTTTTAGGTAGTTTGGATGGCAGATACTCTCTTGATTTCTTATAAAAAGCAATGTTTCATGTAGAAATCAGATCTGTGCTATATAGAAAAAGATAACAATTCTAATTAATAATGATAGCTATTATTTATTGCTTATTCTATATAGATAGAGACACAGCTGAAGAGTTTATATACATTATTTAGTCTTTTCAGCTAACCCTGTGAGGTAAGTAGTTTAACATTTCCATTTTATACCTAGGCCTAGAGAAGTTAAGTAAATTGCCACAGATAGTTGTTACATTAGGGATGTGTATTTCTGGGATCTTTCTGCCTCCAAAGTCTGGTTTTAAAGTACTTCATATTATACTCGGAAGCAGGTAATCTGTACTTGTTAATTAGGAGTATGATAGACTATCACACTGTAACTACCTTTCTTCTGGTTGAAGTTTTACCTTTTGAGAGAATTCTAACAACTATTTGCCTGTCCATCAGGAAAAACACTTCTGTTACATGTAGAGTTAAATGTATTCTAGGTATTTCCAGTGTATTGGGCTAGAATGGACGAAAGTTTACTTTTACTGCTCAATATTTTTAATCACTAATGTTAATTCATGAATTATATAGGATGTTAAGACCACTAATGGCTAGTTTCTTCTTTGGAATAGCTTAAAAAAATACTTCTCATTTGAGAATATTTTGTTGGTTTTTCTCTGTATTATTTCAGTGTCTTTTTGTTGGAGTGATTATGTTTGTAGCCAGTTTGATAATGAAAGATGTTTATAACCTCTGCCAGAAAGAGACTTTTACCTTGAGTTGTGGTTAGTGGTCAAAACAATGACTGCCCCCTTGTTATAAGGTCCTGTCTTCATGAAAAATTCACTCAGAATAATTTAGAAGTTAGTTGATATTTTCTCAAATATGGTTAAACACCTTAAAGCAAAATTTGTGCCCTTCTTTTTTCCCACTTGTATTAAAATAATTTGTGTGATGCACCTGGAATTAGGTCAATCAAAAGTCTTTGTAATATTAGATTTACAAAACTGGTTAGCTGGTTAGGAAATGAAGCTTTTTTTTTTTTAAACTAACTGCAGTGTGCAGATTTTTTTCATAGCTTGCAGTCTCATATTCATATAAATGTAATCATCATTTCATGCTTTAAAATGTTGTCTGTCTGGTTTGCCATTTTATTCTAATGTGGAAAAGTTGGCAATTACTCTGTAAGAAAAATTGGTCCTAGGAAGTGAGGTAAAAAATGACTTGCTTATATTTAAAATTTTCTTAGAATAGCATATCTTAGATAATTAACAGTTTCATTAAATTTTAATTCTCAACTTATTATTTATAATTCTTTTTTATTCATATAGGTTAATGAACTTTCTGAAGAAGAAGAGGAAGATGAAAAGCTAGAACATATAGAAGAACTTCCGGAAGAGGGTGCAGAAAAATCAAGTGACATGCCAGAGGTGGTACAATTAAGGATGACTGAAAATATTCTGGAACCAAATGGTATTACAGCATCAACAAGGTAGTATTTCAGTGAAAGAAGTTTAGCTTTTGAGCATTTCATTCTATATACAGATTCATTCAAGCAGTATACCACACAAATTATAACAGTATATGTAAGATTGGTTTATGTTTGAAAAAGAGCAACAAGAAAATTTTAGAACAACGGCCTTGCTAAGGAATTTTCAGTTACTAGCACTTATGCCTTTCTTTAAAAATATCACGCCTTACATTCATTTCTTAAAGTTTACGTTTTCTAAAATTATTAGTGTTGAGTTGGGTAAAATTTCAGAACCTTTGCCAGTAGCATTGTTAGAGGAAGATACATGCATCTTCACCAGCATTTGTTCTTAGTTTTTTTCGATGCTGACCATCCTAACTGGTGTGAGGTGATATCTCATTGTGGTTTTAATTTGCATTTCCCTGATATTGAACAATGTGGAGCATCTTTTCATGTGTCTGTTGGCCATATGAATTTATTCTTTGGAGAAGTGTCTGTTCATATTGTCCACCCATTTTTTAATAGGGTCATTTGCTTTTTGGATGTTCAGGCATGTGAGTTCTTTATATATTTTGGATATTAACCCCTTGTCAGATATGTCATTTACAAATAAATATATTTTCCCATACTGTAGGATACCTTTTTGTTGTGTTGATGGTGTTCTTTGCTGTACAGAAGCTTTTTAGTTTGATGTGTTCCCATGTGTTCATTTTTCCTTTTATTTACCTTGCTTGAGGAGATGCGTTCAAGAAGAAGTTGCTCATGCTTATATTCAGGAGATTTTTTGCCTATGTTTTCTTCTAAGAGTTTTATGGTTTCATGACTTACATTCAGGTCTTTGATCCATTTTGAGTTTACTATTGTATATGGGGATAGACAATAATCTGGTTTCATTCTCTTGCATGTAGCTGTCCAGTTTTGCCAAAACCAGCTGTGGAAGAGGCTGTCATTTCCCCATTGTATGTCCATTGCTCCTTTATCATATATTAATTGACCATATATACTTGGGTTTATATCTGGGCTGTCTAGTCTGTTCCATTGGTCTGTGGGTCTGTTCTTGTGCCAGTACCAAATTGTCTTGATTACTGTGGCCTTGTAATAGAGCTTGAAGTCGGGGAGTGTAATCTGCCCAGCTTTATTCTCCTCAGGATTGCTTTGACTATTCGGGGCTTTTGTGGTTCCCTATGAATTTTAGAATTGTTTTCTCTACTTCATTGAAGAATGCTGTTGGTATTTTGATAGGGATTGCATTGAATCTGTAGATTGCTTTAGGCAGGATGGCCATTTTGACAATATTAATTCTTCCTATCCATGACTGCAGATGTGTTCCCATTTATTGGTATCTTCTTTAATTTCTCTCATGAGTGTCTTGTAGTTTACAGTGTATAGGGCTTTCACTTCCTTCGTTAGGTTTATTCTTAGGTATTTTATTCTTTTTGATGCAATTGTGAATGGAATTGTTTTCCTGATTTCTCTTTAGAGGAGTGCAACAGATTTCTGTGTATTAATTTTGTATCCTGAAACATTGCTGAATTCAGACATTAGATCTAGTAGTTTTGGAGTGGATTCTTTAGAGTTTTTTATGTACAATATCATGTCATCTGCAAACAGTGACAGTTTAACTTTTTCCTTATCAATCCAGATGCCTTTTTTTTTTTTCTGAAATAGTATTTTATTAAACAGCAAAGCCAACTTGCAATACAATCTTAAATGTTTGTGAATTAGGTCACAAAAGGGACACAAAATGTTTGCAGTATTATTATTATATATTCATACATCTAAAATCATTCATTGAATCTTACACCAATACAAACATGATTATTCCATGATTAAAAGTAGCCCAAATCTACATTAGTGGATCTTTTTAGCATTACTTCTGATACTAAGTTTCTTACCAAATGGAACCTACAAACTAAAATTTTTTAAATTGTTAAAGAATGATTAAAACTCTGCAAAGTAGGTGGATTTACAGAAAATTCTGAGAGAAGTAGCAAGATAAAATACTGAGGAAGTATCAATTAGACTACATGTAAAACTCTCCTATTTTATTCAGGATTCAATACTAATACACTCAAGGGATTTAGCAAAAGTTGATCTGCTGGGTATTACAAATAAGCCTTGAGACCAAACTCTTTGTAATCTAGATATGGTTTATATAAAGTTAATCAAACTTCACCTACTTTCACACATATTCTTTAAAAGATCTAATTTGTGCTAAAGATAACACGGATCTGGAGTAAAAACATTTGGAGTTGGTCATTGCTGTATACGAAGTACTTTTTCTATCCTATTTCTATTTTTCCTTAAAATTTTCTGTTTCACACACACATACAACCAGAGCTTTTCAGATACCAAATGGCTTATTTTGTGCAAAAAGGTTTTTAACAAATCTTCTCAATTTCACAATTCAGTTTCAAAGAAAAAAAATTGATTTTTATAGCCTCTGTTTTCAGTTGATTGAAGAGAAACTAACAATCCTGTCTTACAACTAAATACAAATAAGCCCTAACTGAGAAAGTATTTTGGTTAAGTTTCAACAATTATGGTTCAGTTGACTCTCGTAGATGATTAACTACTGAAATTACTTTTACAGTGTGAAATAATTATTTTCCTTAGGAGAAGGGAAATGGGAAGGAAGAAACAAATGGAGAAGAGGCACAAAATGGTGGACAGGGTACATAAAGCTGTGCATTCAGTACATGATTTTGGTCACTTTTTCACAACATGGTGATTATTTTCTTGTATCTCTTACTATGCCTATAATAAATGACAGTGTTAAACTTATAATTCAAAGGAAATTCAGTAAAACATTCATTTTCAAGTTTCATAAATATATGTATTTCTAATTATAAAGATTCTACAATACATTTGCACATTTTCATGGACTAACATAATACACAAACTCATGGAAGTTTTCTGTTATGCTCTAATTTTGTCTAATCTGACATAATCTTCATAAATACTCAATGAAGCCACAACGAAAAGTACTCTAACTTTTGGAACCTATCCAAATTTTAAAGAAAAAAGCAGCAGTAATTCCATTAAACAAGGGTTATCAATCCCTTACTTTCTGTTGCTTTTTGTGTCAGTTGTTTGAAAAACACTGGAAGCTGACATGAGGTTTTCTGTATACTGTCCAAGAACTTGGTTTTCTGATTTTAGCTTCAGATTTTCTTCCTTAACTGCATCCATTCTTGCAGAGAGATCTTCAAGTGTGTGTTGGAGTTCCAACACTTGGTTAATAAGTCGTGTTTTTTCCTCCAGTTCCACCTGATTTTCAGCATCAACTGCATCCACATCAGCATTCATCATCTTAGGCAACAAACTTTTGGGCCTTGGATACAAAATCCTTGATGAATGTTCTGCAGTCCCTGAGCCAGATGCCTTTTGTTTGTGTTGTCTGATTGCTGTGGCTAGGACCTCCAGAACTATGTTGAATAAAAGTGTTGAACTATGTTGTCGTGTTCCCGATCTTAAAGGAAAGGCTTTCAGCTTCTCACTGTTCAGTATGATGTTGGCTGTGGGTTTGTCATATATAGCCTTATTATGTTGAGGTACTTGCCCTCTATACCCATTTTGTTGAGAGTTTATATTATAAATGCATGTTGAATTTTGTCGAATGCTTTTTCGGCATCTATGGAGATGATCATATTGTTTTTGTCCTTTTGGTTCATGTGGATGATGTTGATGGATTTTCGAATATTGTACCATCCTTGCATCCCTGAAATAAATCCTACTTGATCATGATGGATGATCTTTTTGATGTATTTTTGAGTTTGGTTTGCTAATAGTTTGTTGAGTATTTTTGCATCTATGTTCATCAGGGATATTGGTCTGTAATTTTCTTTTTTTGGGGTGTTTTTGCCTGGTTTTGGTATTAGGGTGCTGCTGGTCTCATAGAATGAGTTTGGAAGTACTCCCTCTTCTTCTACTTTTTGGGAAACTTTAAGGAGGATGGGTATTAGGTCTTCACTAAATGTCTGGTAAAATTCAGTAGTCAAGCCATCCGTTCCAGTTTTGTTCTTAGGCAGTTTTTTGATTACCAGTTCAATTTTGTTGCTGGTAATAGGTCTGTTCATATTTTCTGTTTATTCCTGGGTCAGCCTTGGAAGGTTGTATTTTCTAGAAAGTTGTCCATTTCTTCTGGTTATCCAATTTGTTAGCATATAATTTTTCATAGTATTCTCTAATAATTCTTTGTATTTCTGTGGTTTCCGTAGTGATTTTTCTTTTCTCATTTCTGATTCTGTTTATGTGTGTAGACTCTTTTTTTCTTGATAAGTCTGGCTAGGGGTTTATATACTTTGTTTATTTTCTTGAAGAATCAGCTCTTATGTGACTGCAGACAGATTTAAATGTAAACAGCAGAGGGGAGAAAAAGGTCAGAGAATGACTACAGTCTTTAACGTTACACTTAAGGCTAAGATATGTATGACCATTACAATCTGTTGTTTGTTCTTTTAATATGGTCTTGTCTGGGGGTTTAATGAAAACAATTAGCATTTTAGGTGGTCTTTTTGGAATTTCTGTAGTTACCTAGATAATTTGGCCTTAAATTTGTCAGCAGTTGTTTTTGTGTGTCTGTGAGTAGCAGTCAGACACTTATGACATCGGTGCTGTTTTGCTGCTGCTGTGGATGCATAAGTATATTGATAAATCTTTTTTATGGCCATAAGTGTGTACTTGCTTTGGTTTGTGCATAAGCGCTTTTTATCCACAGAAGTTGGCTTAAGTCTGAAAATAATGAATAATTAAATCCTGTGATATCTGAAAACTAAATCAGTCCTTTGTCCTCCAGAAGCTCAGAGAATAAAATTGTACAGTCAACTTTGTAGCTTGTGGGTGACAATCTGACTCATAATATAGAAAGTCTATTTGACTTTTTTACTGTGGCTTTTTGGGGTGGGGAGAGGGTCCTTACTGAAAGGAGCTGTTTATTTGATTGTCCCAGCACATATTTCAGGGCTTAAGAATCTTTACTGTTACACTAATAACCTAGTTTGCTGTTCACCACTCTTTCTATATTTGAGATTTACTTCTAGTAACATTAAGGGTAGAAAACAAAAATATCAGCTCCTGTTTAAGGTCTCCCCATCTAGTTTAAGGCCATCAGAACTTTGACTCTTTCTGGCTCCGTTGGATAACTGGAATATCTTATTGAAAAGTTTAGTCTTTTTGCAGGTTGGCTATATAGATCTAGGCCAGTGGTTCTTAAACTTACTATGGACCAGAATCATCACTGGTGCTAATTAAAAATGTGGACTTTGGGGCTCTGCCACAGAGGCTTGGGAAGAGACCCAGGAATCTACTTTCTTAAAGCTTTTTTTAAAATCGGGAAATAAATCATATATGAGAAATGATATAGAGATACAGAAATGAGCCTAAACAAATACATAGCAAAACAAGTTAGTGAAAAGCACATATCCATGTAACCATCACCCAAATCTAAAAATAAACACTGATAGTGCACCAGTAGCTCTCAGAATCCTGATCTCCCTACTCTCAAAGGTAGTCTACAGGCTGACTTCATGTCAGTCACTTCCTTATGTGTTTTTAAGCATTGCATGAAAATTACATCTATATTTTTGATCCAACTTCTTTCACTAAACATGATTTGTGAGATTTTCCATGTTACATGTTAACTGTGGTTTGTTCACCTCATTGCTATAAAGTATTCCATTATGTGATTATACCACAGTGATCCAACTTACTGTCGGTGGACAGTTGGATTGTTTTTACTTTTTGAATATTGTGAATAGCTTTTCACAGTACACAAGATTCTTGTACAGGTCTTCTGGTGCACGTGCATGCACGTGAAGACGTAAACCTGTCTTTCAACTTCAGTGAATACTGCCACATTATTTTCCAAAGTGCTTACTCCAGTTCAGACCCTCACAATTGGAGAAATATATGTATGATTTTCCTAATAGTGTATGACCCTTGTGATTTGTTGTTTGTTCAGTAAATAGTATATGAGTATTCTCATTGCTTCATATTCTTGCCAACACTTGGTATTAACTATTCTGGAGGATGTGTAATAGTATTTCATTGTCATTTTATTAATATCCATCTCCTTTTGGTATGTGTATTGGCCAGTTTCTTTTGCTAAATGCTTGTTGAAGTCTGTTCTCTGTTCTTCTATTGAGTTGTCTTTTTCTTACTGAATTAATTGTAGGAGGCCTTTAAAAATATTTGTTGCAAATACCTTTTCCCCATTGTACCTTGTCTTTTCCTTCTCATATTGTGTCTTCTGATGAATAATTACTAATTTTATTTCAGTTTATCATTCTTTTGTGATTAATGCTTTTTGTGTCTAAAAAATCTTTCCCTAAATATACAGTCTTATATTATTTCGTAAAAGCAGTATCATTGTACCTTTTATGTTTAGGTCTTCAATCTACCTGGAATTGACTTTCATCTCTGGTGTGTGACAGGGGCCAAGATACCTTTTTCAGTATGGGTACTAAATTGTTCCTGTCCTCCTCTTTGAAATGGCTGGCCTTCGCTGGCTTCCTCTAGTGCCACCTTTGTTGTCAATCACGTGCGTTTGCATGGGTCCCTTTCTATCCTGTTTGTCCATTCTGGGGTGCCAGTACTTCAGTAGCTTATTTACTACCATTTTTATGGTCATCTTAATTGACATAAAAAGGAATAACATTCCTCTGGGAGAATAATAGATGATTAACAATGGCAAATTTGAAAAAGAACAGAGAGAGGTTATAAGCCCTAACTTAAAGGTAAAACACGATATAAGGCTTTAGTAACAGATGGTTGGACTGTCAAGTCCACGTAAGAAGTTGAGAATTAGACCTTTTTGAGAATTTGGCATAAGATAAAGCAAAAGCTCACCAGAAATCACAGATTAAATGGTGAAGGGAACAGTGCTTGATTTATGAATTTTCTTCACACCATTCAATATACTATGCTGTCACTGGATTATAGTTAGGTATTGAAAATAAGATGAAATTTCTAAATAGGTAAATAAGTAAACTTAGATTGCAAATATTACTGAAGAAAATATAATAGATCACACCATGTAAAGATTTAACTTTTATAATTAAATAGCAACTCATAACCAAAATAAAGAATATAAAGACTGGATCATTGCAGCAAAATATAGAAAAAGCTCTCTTCTGGTTGACATTTAAACACTCTTTAGCTAAAGCCTCATTTATCATTCTTGGCTTTTGTTTCTTAAATATCTGCAGATACTTAATATTTAAGTTTCAGCCCACTTGAAACTACTAGAAATAGACCGATGACTACACTCTTCTTTGTGTGTGTATATGTGATTTTTCTTCCCACCTTTTCTTGAGTTCAGAAATGAAGTTCTATAAAACTTTTAAAATATGAAAATGTTATTAAGTACTTCCCTTGAAAGTATCAGCGTGAAAGCCTTTAGGGCTATAAATAATCCACTTGTGAAAACTGACATAATATTGGCAATTAAAAAATTTTTTTTGGAGCTAGGAGAGGTTATGTGTGCTAAATCAGGATGGTTTACTGTTGTATATAAAGCAGTTGGGTAATTTGCTGTTAATGTGTTTGCTATAAGGGAGACCTGAAGATTATTGAATGAATGGTAAATGGTTTTCATTTGGTTTCCTACAGAAAATTCTGAGAATATTAACCTAATAGGCCCTGTTCCTCAAGTTGTTTAGTTTGTTGGTACATTTTATAGAGGAGTTGCATAAAGCTAATTTAAATTTACTTTTTAAAAGTGACTATTGAAGAATCACATGCATACAGAAGAGTTCATGAATCATAAGGTGGTTTAATTAAGTCAACTCAACTTGTGTAATCACCACCTGGGTTACCTGTTCCTGTCCCTCCTCAAATGCTACCATCTCCTTGTTCCCCAGAAGTAGCCACTGTTGGGGTTTTATCATTTTAGATTAACTTCTGTTACTGATTTTTTTCCTTCAAAAAATCAACTTTGAGGTATTATTTTCACACAGTAAAATGAACTCATTTTATAAATGCACACACACATGTAACAACCACCACCACAATCAAGATGGAGAGTATTTCCACCATCCCACAAAATTAAGAAATGCTTCTTTACAGTAGATCTTCCCCTGCCCCCATCTCTGGCCCCAGGCAGCTGCTGATCTGCTTTCTGACACTGTATAAATTAAGTTTTGCCTGATTTAGAATTTCATATAAATGGAATCTCATATAGTAGGTACTCTTTTGTGTCTGGCTTCTTTTGGTAGGTGTAATGTTTTTTGAGATTCATATTGTTGCAATCATCAATTGTTATGCCATCTATAAAAAAAGTGCTCACAGTGAAGACAAGTAGTGATTCTACAGCATCTTACTACGCTGATGGACAGTGACTGTAATGGGGTGTGTGTGGGGGACTTGGTGAAGGGGGGAGCCTAGTAAACTTAATGTTCTTTATGTAATTGTAGATTAATGATACCAAAACAAAAAAACAAAAACAACAACAACAAAAAGTGCTCAGTACATTCCATTGTAAGGTTATTCCATACTTTGTTCATCCATTCATTTGTTTGGGTTGATCCTGTTTTTGGCTATTATGAGTAAAGCTACCATACTTGTGCACTCTTCCTGTGGACTTATGCTTTCATTTCTCTTGAGTAAGTATCTAGGAGTACAGTTGTTGGGTCATTTGGCTAAGTTTTTATTTTTATTTTTTTAGATTTTATTTCTCTCCTCATTTGGTTAAGTTTTAAAAGAAACTGCCAAACTAGTTTCCAAAGTGGTTGGAACATTTTACATTCCTTCCAGCATTATATTAAAGTCCTAGTTACTTCGCATCTTCACCAACACTTTGTAATTTTAAACGTTTTAGTGGTATCCACATCTCATTGTGAGTTTTAAGTTGCACATTTGTTAACTGGTAAAATGAGGCTATTTATATTCTTAAAGGTATCAGTAGATAACTGTGGTGCAAAATTTGCTAAGGAAAGCCTGTTTGCGGCACAGTGAATGAGGTGGTCTGAATTTTAGTGTCCCATTTTGTCTTTTCTTTTTGTAGTTTGAGAACATCCTTTGAGTAATAACATGTGCTATTACATCTGGCAAGGAGTACAGGGCCAGCATTGAGACCTTCCTACCTTCCTACTGTCCTACATAGGGCGTTTTTCTTGGGCCACTAGTCATTTTTTTTTTTCCTTCAGCCTTAGAATAGATGAGCATCAGATGAAGTAGTTTGCCACACACACATACACACACTGTGTATTTAAAGGTCTTTTTATGTAAAAAATAATTTCTTAAGAAAATTAGAATCATGCTCTGCTACAGATGAACAGAAACCTTAGTGCATGCTCTCCTAGTTGTGTCAAGGTAGTGCAAATGTGGCAGTTTTTGGCACAGTTTGTTGTCAATTGGTATTGAAAAATTTTACAGCTGATTTCTTTCTTTGATTACAGTGCCCATATATCTCCTATCAGCATCTTACCGGCCTCTGCAGAGTAAGTAGTATACTTAATAGAGACAATTAAAATATTTTAAAAAATATTACTAAACTGTAGCAATTGAAATTGTGTATTTATTGTGCCCGCTTTAGAGCATTTTGTGTAGTTCAATGAAACTAGTATTTTATGTACTGCCAAAGGAACATATGACGAAGCAACACATCGCAGTAAGTTAAAAAACAAAGACGAACTTTCTTCAGATCTTACTTATCTTCTGAAATGATTGGAAAGGGTCAGTAGAGTTTTTTAAAATTAAATTTTCTCTGAGAAGACCTCACATAAAAAATATGGACAGTAGTACCCTTATAGTTTATTTACCTGAGTATTGGTAAATTATTTTGCCTTATAAACATATTTTTGAAAAGTCTATTTAAATGGCTTTCTGTATAGTAGTGAGGAATCTCAGTCGGTTATTGGACAACTAACCCTTTCCATCTCAGTAGTAATAGTAAAATTATGGTTGATTTGTACAATATCTATTTGGACAAATTTCATTTTAAAATTTTAAGCCAGGATTCCTTTAATGTATTTCTTTTTATACTCTAGCTTATCCATTTAAATACCATAATAATTGGTTTACTGGTTGTGTTTTAACATTTGTATTCATGTGGCCAAATACCTGGTTAGAGTGACTGCTTCTCACTAAAATATGTTGTTTTGTAGCATTTTAGAAAGAACAATTAGAGCGGCTGTGGAACAGCACCTGTTTGATCTGCAGAGCAGCATAGATCATGATCTTAAGAATTTACAGCAGCAAAGTCTGGTGTGTAATAATGAAGCAGGAAGTATTAATTGTGATGGGGAAGGATCTAATAACCAGTAAGAAACTCTTAAAACATTTTACTGTTGTTTATTAAGAGTTACAAAATTGTTTTGTTTTAAAAACTGTATTTTTAGTTGAATAATGGAATCTCATCTTAGTTGGAGATTTCTGAAAGTCAGTGCAAAAAGTGATCTTGTATATATTTGTTTGTAATTTGTATATACTTAAACTTAATTAACACTGAAATCTCACAAATCTTCCACTAAGGTAGTAGACAGTAAGTCCAACACAGCCAGGTTTTCCTCCCTGAACACCAGATGAACTGTGTTTAGGGACTATATCATATGAAAAATAGCTTTAAAAACATTAGAACCATACTCTGTGCAACAGACAGACATCGTGAAAGACGTGCAGTGATCTGAGAAGTATAAGGACAGCTGATCGATATCACTCTTAGTGCATGCATGTGGTCATGGGTGGAATGGTGAGCAGAATCATCCTTTACTATTTAAATTGTTATCCCTTGCCACCAGCCTCTGTTCTCCTTATGCGCTTTCTTTAGTCTATCTGTTAATAGTTGAATTTGTGTAAGTTAAAAGTACCTCTTTGTACTGTGTGATGTGTTATATTACTCCATTCTCCATGTGACTTGTTATCTTGTGGGCAAAAGCCTCATCTTCTTTACCATTAAGCTCAGCCCTGATCTTCAAGATAACATAGGTACCTTCCTCTGAGACCACAGAGCAGTGTTTTCATTATCAGTTTTTATTTTGGGGACAGATGAGAAACAACCCAAATTTGGAGGATTTAAAGGAGGGTAAAAAAATAAATGATTGGGTAAAGTGATCTTTTTTTTTAAAGAATTAGATTTTTAAATGGGCCAAATATGTCTAGTATACTAAAATCACTATTAAATATGAAATGAAACTAAAAAAAATAATGCCTAGGAAAACCACTGGTTGGAATATGTTTGCTTTAGGAATACTGTATTATACAGCTGCTTTAGGTGTGCCGTGTAGTCTGTGTGGATGGTGTCACCAGCTTGTATAGCTCTGTGTGGTGGCCTTGGTGTCTGTGCTTTGCAGGCATTATTAGAACTGATACAGCTGAATCGATAAAGGAGTATTTAAGTTTAACAAGGAAAAAACAGTGTCTCAAAGAAGAAAATAATGGGAAAATGTTTCAAGGGATAGAATATGAGCTGATTCTTTGGAGTTTGTCCTTAGCTTAGCTGGAGATCCTGAAAACCTATGCCCATGCCCAGACAGTATACTTATTTTTACTACTGGGGAAATAACTCATGTTCTATCATGGATTGTCATGGTATAAACAAAAATCTAAAGTGTTTTGCATATTATAAATTATGTAAGGTGGAAAATCTGCAGTAGGAAGCTATTCGTGTTGTATTTTGATAAAGCGTTGGACGTATCAGTGTCTAGTGCTATATACGCTTGTATTTTAATCAGAACAAACAGATCATTATTATGATTGAGAGCATGGTTTTATAAGGAAAATCACTATTTCTGGTACATAAATTTTTTAAAGCCATTCATTTGCTTTTGAAAAATTTCAAAGGGGTTAACAAGCAAGGTAGACTCCTCAAAGCATCTTAATGGAGAGACAAAAAAAAAAGTGTTTAATAATCTAACTTGGCAAGAGAAAGAAAGTAGATTTTTATGAAAAGGACAAATTTTCTTAAACAAAAGTTTCAGATCATTAGTAATATTTATTTTAAAGGCATTACATATTCAGCATTTGGCCTGATCTGATTTTTTAATCTTCATTACTAGGGTTGATATTGCTGATATTATTAATGCCAGTGAAAGTAACAGAGACTGTTCAGAACCTGTGGCTAGCACTAATTTAGACAATGAAGTTATGCAGCAAGATTTTGTATTTGAGGATGAAGAAAATAACCAGGTAAGAAATGTAAACACTATAAAAAATCTCTGTGTTTGTTGTGCTAGATGTATAATTCTGATTGCTTCATGTGTTCCTTTGATATTGGAAGCCATAGTTCATTATCTTTGCTGACACACATATTTGTCTTGATTATAAGCCCCAAGAACATACATTCTCTCAGGAGAGGTCAGGAAGCGTCATTGGGTGGAGAAGTAGGTATAAAACACCTTACTTTAAAATATTTTCTTGGGAAGAAACAAATAGATGTCCGCTGAAGTGGTTGGTGGTTAAATTTTTGTTCTTTTAAAAAGCTCTTTTGTATTTCCCAGATTTTTTCTGAAGAACATGGGATCTTTTCATAATTAGAACATCTTTGTAAAAAATAAATTATTTCACTGTCATAATTGTTAGTAATAATATTAAAAAAATTATTTCAATAAATGTACAAAGCATCTTTCTGAGACATGTTTCAAAGTTTAGTTTTGATAACACTTTTTAAATAAGATACCTAAGGGATAAGGAAGTTTTCTTTAGCATGTTTTCATTCATTCTGAACCATAAACTGAAGTGTAGGTGTCATAAGGGTTTTAGAATCAGCCGACTGAGATTTGTGCTCTGTCTTGGTCTCCCAAGCAGCATGACTTAGGGCAGGTCACCTGACTTTTCTGAGTTGCTATTTGCTTTTTTATAGATAAGTGGGAGTTGTACCTGTGTTAGATGATTATTATAAATATCAAAAGAAATAGAAGTATAAGATTATTTTATAAACTGGGAAATATGTCACAGACTTTACTTTCAACTGGACTTGTATATTTCTCATGTATTGATGCTGTTACTTCCACTGGTGTATCAGGTTAATCCCTTTTCATCTGCTCATGGTTAATGCTTCTGTAGTTGTCTCCATGCCCTTTGCTGGATTATTAATGTCTGCCTGGCTGCTGGATCATTCCCTCAGTGTAAAATGTTTATACTGTAAATTCTCCCATGTTTAGGAAATAACACTCTCTCAACCCTTCATCCCACTCTAGCACACCCTTATTTCTCTGCTTCCTTTTATAATAAAATTAAACAGATGGTTTGTGTTTGTTTACTTCCTCTCCTCCCATTCTCTTTTGAACTTCAGGCAACTTTGTGCCCCTACCATTTCCCTGTAACTACTCTTGCAAGTCACCAGTGATGACTGTTGGACATTTTGCTTGAGCTAAGAGCAGAGTTTGATTCAACTAATTACTCCTACTACCTTGATATGGTTTCTCCACTTGGCTTTCAGGCTCTATCAGTCCTCTGGGTTTTTTCCTACTTGACTAGTTACTATATCCCTTTGCTGATTGCTTTTCATGTTCTGAACCTTTGAAATTCGTAATGGTCCAGGGCCCAATTCTCAGATCACTTATTTTCATTCACTCCCTTGGTAATCTCATTTAGTCTAAGGGTTTTAAGTGCCAGCTCTATGCTAATGGTTCCCAGATTTATATCTCCACTCCAGGCCTTCTCTTAACTTTAGATTCCTGTATATAGTAGCCATTCTCCTCAGCATTTCCACTTGAATATCTTACAAGCGTCCTAAACTTAACATGCACCAAACTGAACTTTTAATCTTGTCAACATATTATCTACTGTTCCTTTTGTCATTAAAATCTCAATAAAGGCTTCTCCTTCCATATGCGCAGGCCAGAAACTTCGGGTCATCCTTGATTTCTTTCTCACTGCGGATCTAGTCCTTTACAAAGTCTTGCTGGCTATACCTTCAGTTTATTGAGTCTGATCACTTTTTGCTGTTTCTTTTGCCACCACGTAGGTCCAGGCCAACATCATTTCACCTAGATTAGTATTCTCCTAGCTAATCTCATCTTTGCCTCTCTTGGGGTCTGTTCTTATGAAGCATGCAAGAATGATCCTTTTAAAATGAAGATTAAGTCATCTCAGTTCTCTTTTCAGAACCTTCCAGTGCCATTTAGGTATAAAAATATATAGCAAAATGTGTAACAGAAACACTGACTAATAGACAGTTGTGATTACAACAGCCCAATCTTCAGGTTTTGTCTGGATTGCCATGGTTTACTTCCTCATCTAATCCTACAGATCTTTCCTCAATTTTACCTTCTCAATAGGGCCAAATCTCCTGATCAGTTTATATGTATTAGCATGCCTTCCCACTGACACACCCCTCCCCTATCCAGTCCCTGAATTTTCTGTCCTTCTTCCTTTGTACCCCCTCTTTTTGCTAGTGTTAGCACCGTCCCACATCTTTTTTAAAATTAATTTTTAATTCATTAAGGTATCATTGATATACAATCTTATGAAGGTTTTTACAACATTCACCCATATTATTATCTCAAGTTACCCCTACACCCCACTGCATTCATTCCATCAGCGTAGTAAGATGCTGTAGAGTTGTTAGAGAAAACTACTATGGATCACTGATGGAAGAACCAAGTGGCGCTTGGAGTTCTTGGAGGGTGGAGGTTTATTTTATGCGGTGGGCTCAGAGGAGAGTGATCTCCAAAGGTTTGAGCCCTGAGTGCAGCAGGGCCATGCCTTTCATGTATTTACTACAAAGCTAAGGTGGGAGTCAGCACCCAGAAACTGTTGCAGTGGGAACTGTTAGGTCACTATAAGTGTATTCAGAATGTTGGTTGTATTTTAATCTATTTCTGTAGAGGTTACCTGGATACCACATTATAAACTAATGGGCTTCCATGGTTATGATTAACAAGCTGTTCCATACCACTGAGTCCTGGTGGGGGAGTGAGGGGAGGGAGGACGGTAGAATACATTGTTAAATTGTTTCAATTCCAAGCACCTTGTGATGCCTCTATATTTCTAAGGCCTCAATAGAAACCCTGTTTCCTTGGCTTTCTTGGCTTCCCACCACATTTGCCAAGAGGGGGAGGGATTTGAGAACTTTCTGAGTATTTCCTCATCAGAGTCACTACATGTCTTCTCTGCATCTCATGTATCTTTTAAATTAGTGATTTTTGCCTGTCTCCTACCATTAGACTACAAACTTCATGAGGGCTGAGAGTTTCATCTGCTTTGTTCATTATTGCATCCCCACTACCTAGAACACTTAGGGTACTCACTAAGTATTTGTGGAATATATTACCAAACAAATGAATAGCATTTGCACATAGTAGGCAACTCTGTAAATTTGTTGAATGAAACTGGTGCATCCACTACTTTGTTAGAAAAGTAGGAATTCTTTTTTTTCAATTTTTGAGACTTTATCTTCGAGAGCAGTTTTAGGTCTACAGCAAAATTGAGAGGGAGGTACAGAGATTTCCTATATGCTCCCTGTCTCCACACATGCATAGCCTTCCCTACTACCAACTCATTTACCAAAATGGTACATTGTTTTTTTTTACAAAGGATGAACCTACATCATGATCATTCAAAGTCAGATTTACCTTAGGGTTCATTCTTGTTGTACATTTCATGGCTTTGGCAAATGTATAAAGACATATATTCATTGTTACAATATCATACTGAGTTTTTTTAACCAGTCTAAAAATATCTCTATCCCCTGACACTAGGAAAAACTGATTTTTTTTTTTTTTTTTTTTTTTTTAATTATTAA